CCGCCACTGAAAATATACATAGTAATTACTGTTCTATTAAGATGTACAACAAAGTTCATTATAAAAACGATTTATAATAAAGTAAATTTACATTGCTACGTTTCATTCTCCATATTTATAAACGTAATAACACGTGTTTGAAGTTGCGAAGAAACAAACATGAATCGGAGTTGTTCGGAAATTACCGGAACATTCGGAAATTCCGGTATATAAATAACTCGAAGTCTAACTCGAAGTCCAACTCGAACTCGAATCCAACTCGATATTTCGGGATTCCCCACTAAGACAGACATAAAATTCAGTGAGAACCTGGATTATGAAGGAATCGAGTTCCCTGTGAAAATAAGTGATGTTGCAAAAGTAGAAAGAAGGAGTAGTATCGGAATATCAGTGTTCGGGTATAGGGGTAATAAGGAATTCTACCCAATAAAAATAACTAGGGCTGACTATGAGGATTACATGGAACTACTCCTACTAGGTGATAACAATGGTAATAATCACTACGTACTTATAAAAGATGTGAATAGAATGTTATTCAGTGTAAGTAAGCATGCACATAGGCAACACTTCTGTTTACACTGTCTTCATAGCTGTGTAAGTGAAGAATCACTGGAAAAGCATAAGGAGACATGTCTAGCCACAAAATTTCCCGAGGAAGGAACAACAATAAAGTTCAAACACCAAAGAAACTCGATGCCGGTGCCCTTTGTTATATACGCTGATTTTGAGTCTATACTAGTACTAGTACCAGAAGAGAAGAAAGAAAAGTCAGATGCTAGTGATGATAGTAGTAGTCCGTCATGCTACCAGAAACACAAGGCCTGCAGTTTTGGGCTGAAGACAGTCTGCCATTATGATAATCAGTACTTCGGTGAGTATAAGAGTTACGTTGGTGAGGATGCCGCATTAGTCTTCTTAAAGACTGTTATAAAGGAGTCTACCAAGTGTAGGGAGCTTGTTAATAAAATATTCAAGAAGAAACTGGTAATAACACCTGAACAGGAACTTGAGTTCTGGACCACTAGAAACTGCTCCATATGTGGCAACGATCTAGTTGACGATAGAGTGAGAGACCATGATCATGTAACCGGATTGTACCGTGGAGCTGCTCACAAAATATGTAATCTTAAGTACAGAATTACATGGGAGATCCCAGTAGTGTTCCACAAACTTAGAGGTTATGATAGCCATCTTATAATGCAGGAAATAGGTAAGTTCAGAATGAATGTTAATTTGATCCCTAATAATATGGAAAAATATATATCATTCTCACTGGGTAAGAATCTGGTCTTCATAGATAGTATACAGTTCATGGCTTCCTCACTAGAGTCACTGGTAGATAACTTATCACCTGAGGACTTTAAGATAGTAGGTGAAAGATGGAAAGGTGAGGACTTCAATCTAGTGACACAAAAAGGTGTGTTTCCTTATGAGTTCCTAGATGATATTAGCATACTTATTACAGAAGGTCTTCAGAGTAAGGATAAGTTCTACTCTACTCTGTATGAGTCAGAGGTAAGTGACAAGGATTACGAAAGAGCTCAAAAAGTATGGGATCATTTCAAGATGAAGACTCTGAAGGATTACCACGATCTCTACTTGGAAACGGATGTTCTACTACTAGCGGATGTGTTTGAAAACTTCAGGAGAACATGTCTTAAGAATTACGAGTTAGACCCAGCACATTACGTGTCAGCACCTAGTCTTAGTTGGGACGCTTTCCTGAAGAAGTCAGGTGAGGAAATAGAATTGGTAAGTGATATGGATATGTTCCAGTTCTTCGAGAAGGGTATGAGAGGTGGTACAAGTTATATAGCTCATAGACACTCAGAAGCTAATAACAAATACATGGAAACCTATGACGAGACGGAAGAGGATAAGTTCCTAATGTACCTAGATGCCAATAACTTATACGGCTGGGCAATGTCACAACCTCTACCTAATGGAGAGTTCGAGTGGGTTGACGACCCCGATAATATAAGGATAGAAGACTACCTAGAAGACGAAGGAAGAGGGATGGTTTTAGAGGTTGATCTAGAATACCCGGAAGAATTACACGATTCACATAACGGTTATCCTCTTGCACCAGAAAGTAAGGAAATAGATGAGTCTATGTTGTCAGACTATGCGAAGGATATTGCTGAGAAATTCCAACTGACTATTGGAGGAGTAAGAAAGTTGATAACTTCATTAGGTCCCAGGAAGAAGTACGTTCTACATGTACGTAATCTAAAACTCCACACTGACCTCGGAATGAAACTCACTAAGGTTCATAGAGCTGTTACATTTAAGCAGTTACCCTGGCTTAAGGACTACATAGACTTCAATACGAAGAAAAGGTCAGAAGCCCGTAATACCTTTGATAAAAACTTCTTCAAACTAATGAACAACTCCATATATGGTAAGACTATGGAGAATCTTAGGAAAAGAGTAGATGTAAAGCTAGTGTCTTCCAAAGACCAACTACTAAAACTTACCGCATCACCAAGCTTCCAGTCACATAGGATAATGAATGAGCATCTTATTGTTGTAAAGAAGATTAAGGAAGTTCTAACTCTGAACAAGCCGTGCTATGTAGGGATGAGCATCTTAGATTTATCAAAGACTCTAATGTATGATTTCCACTACAACACAATTAAAAAGGAGTACGGTAACAAGTCCAAGCTACTGTTCACGGATACTGACAGTCTAATGTACGAACTGAAGACTAAGGATGTTTACGAAGACTTCAAGAAAATAGGTGAAAAGCTGAACTGCTGGGATAATTCAGATTACCCAAAAGATAGCCCTTACTACTCAACCCACAACAAGAAGGTTATTGGTAAGTTCAAGGACGAGGCTGGAGGAGTACCCATAATTGAGTTTGTTGGACTAAGGTCAAAGATGTACTCATACGTAAAGGAGAATGGTAAGGGTGGAATGACTGCTAAGGGTGTTAAGAAGTATGTCATCAGAAATAAGCTAAGTCATGAAAACTTCAAGAATGTCATAAACACGAAAAGTAGGATGAGACATAGTATGAACACAATCAGGAGTACTAAGCATACTATTGGAACTTATGAGGTTAAGAAGGTTACTCTAAGTTGCTTTGATGATAAAAGGTATCTTTTGGAGGATGGAGTTACTAGTTATGCTTACGGACACTGTATGATAGAAAAAAGTAGTGTTGATGTTCCAATCGAAGAAAAAATAAACACAGCCTGTGTGTTCACAAGGGCGGAGTTGGAAATTGAGGAATGCAAGCTTGCGAAGGCAGAACTGGTGGTCGTAGAAAAGCCTAAGTGTTCTGTGAAATTCCCCGAGGAAATCGTAAGGATGAAGACAGCGCTGACCGAAAAACTGCAGGAGCGTGATGTATTCCTTGATTTGATAGTAGAGTTCAGAAAAGCGGAAAGGACTCTATCACATCATAAAAGAACTATACTACTAATGCTATCAAGTTGGGATATCGATAAGGCTAAAAAGTACGTTAGGAACTGTGATAACAAAAAACTGTGTGAAATGTCAGATGATGAAATTCAGCTTCACTGGGACAAACTTGTTAAGAAGGGTATGACTGATTACGAGGTTAGTCTCATAATTAGTAGGGAAGTGTATGAGGGAGGAGAAAGGCTTAAGGGTGAGTACAGATTTTACCTGGGTCTAACTGATGAGTATGTTGAAAAGCCATCAAAACTATACAAAGATTGGCTCATGGAAGTAATGGGTTACAATGAGAAAACTGCTCATAAACTAACAGCTAAGGAATTCAATGGTGAAATGAAAGATGTTGCAGAGGACTCAGACTACGAAAGAGAAATGTACAAGAAATGGTTGATGAAAGATAAAGGTTACAGCGAGGAGGATGCCGAGGACATGACAGAGCAGCACTTCCAAATAATGGAGGAAGAAAACGAGACCGAAGACTGGTCCACAGGTGAGGGTATCAAAAATGATGGTGTGACGATAGCGATGATTATGATGATTGGTGAGGTGAACTGTGTAGAAAAATGGTGGTTGTAAAGGGTAAATAAGCGAACTGTGCACACCGCCTTGTATTACCCCAAGGAGAAAATAAAATTGACGGAAAGGCTCTAGAATGAGTGTTTCCGGTGGTGCGGAAGAGTAAGCGGTCACACTGTATAGTGGCTGCTTAGGTTGAGGGTGTTTGAGGTAGTGGAATGTTAGGAATCTTCTCTGAGAGTATAAATAATACCTGTGGAGCACAAAGAGTGTGAAAATATGTTGTTGAAATTAGTAACTGACAACTTTGTAAGCAAGGTATGTGTAAACAGAGAGGGGTAAATAAAATTAGCCAGATAGGCTCTAGAATAGAGGTTTTAGGTGATGTGGAAGAATTAACTGGAAAACAACAGACAAAACAGGCTTCACTGGAGTCACGTGACCGCTAAAGCGATCCCGAGACTCCATAAGATAAGTTTCACTAAAACGTTGTTAGATTGACTCCAGAACTGCAGTTTCAATAGACTAGTTAAATATGTTAATTAGAACAAAACGCTAGCCAAGGGACTGCAGTGTCTGGACCAGTAATTCGACCGCGAAGCGGGAGAATTAGTGGTCTAGACACGGCAGTTCCTATGCTACTTAGACATTGAATATTAACATATTTTAGCTTCTTGACGCGACAAATATGCTAATACAGCAATACAGCATAGCGTATATATTAAAATATCATATGTCAGACAATCATTAACAACACCGATTGGCTTGGTACTCAGGTTTATAAACCTTTAATATGAACTAAAGATACATCACTATAAAAGCATAAATTTATCTACCGTATTGCATTGCAAGCTTTGTCTTTCTCTAGCAGTAGCTCTCTGCGCCAAAATTTCTAGCGAGTCTTCTGCTTGTGTTGTTGATGGCGCCGCTCAGTAGCTAGTCAACAATTCAACAAAATTCGTCCGTGAGGCATCGATATTCTTTTCAAGCTCCGTATACAAACGTTGTATAGAGATTCCTAATTGTTTACCGCAATCGCAAACTGAACATTGTCGAAAATTTTTCCAGATATCGCTGGTAGAAATCGCTCGTAATAGTAAACGTTCGAAATAGTAAACACTCAGAGGTAAACACTAATGCGGTGTTGACGAATACCTGACGTTGCGACTCCGTCGAAAATATAAGCCAATAACAGTGCAGAATTTTTTTAAATGGTTCAATCAGAAGGCTCATACAGAGCCCCTGAATCTGCAAATCCGTCAGGCCTTCCCACAGATCCGTTGCAAATGGCCGTAACCATGGAAATGAGCGTGTCAGCCAATCAGATAGCCGGATTTGACCCCCGAATCCGTCAACTTTCACGCTGTTCGTGACTGACTAACATTACTTTGCCGAAGCTCTGCCGCAGCATGAAACGTACAACTGGACTACCGGTACGATTCAAAATTTTTGTCAATCGATCTACTGGCCACTATCGATAGCTGGAGTCAAATTTTTTTAAGCGGGCAATTTTTACTTCAGTCGCGCGACTGATTTGACGACCCCTAGATCCGCCCCTGAGTTGACTGAGGAAACTGAAAAGGATTTTTTAAAACGTTCATTCCGAGCATGTGGGATATGATAGTCTTCTCCGGTAGGGAGATTGTAAGCTGTTATAGATCTAACTTTGACCGTACAGAGTTCCTGCAAATAGGATGGTGCAAGATTATTAAGTATCTTATAAATCTTAATTAACTTATGATAGGTACGTCTTTCTTTCAATTTGACCCATGCCACTTCATTAAGCAACTTTTCACAAGATGTTCCCTTTATGGCACCCGTAACCAGTCTAGCTGCTTCGTACTGGAGTTGTTCAGGAAGATCATTATCAGTTTCGTTACAACGTCCAAAGCAATATCTGCATATTCCAAGCATGAACGAACCAGAGATTTATACAAAGTATCAAGTGTTTTCCTGGTCAATGTTAACCTCATAGGTTTAAGCATATTTAAACGTTTTGAGGCTTTTGATGGATTTTTAAAATGTGTGAACGCCATGAGAGATTAGACCTAAGTGTAACGCCTAAATGTTCATGCTGAAAAACCTCTTTGATGAACACATTTGATAAATAGAGAGAAGAATGAAATGGTTTGTCTTTTTTAGCTGAAAAGATCATACTTTCTGTTTTTTCGGCAATCATGGCGACAAGCGACCGGTAAACCCACGTTGAGATCGAGCTAAGTTCACAATTTAGTTTCCTAGCTGAATCGACAGGTGACTCTACCTCCTCAAGCAATAAAGAGTTATCGGCAAATAGAAGATATTCTGTTGAAATATTATTAACAATATCATTAATGTATATAAGAAACAATAGTGGACCCAATACAGACCCCTGGGGGACCCCTGCCTGGGTATTTTGCCAATCATAACATTCTCCATCAATGACTACTCGCTGTTTCCTACCAGATAAATAGCTCTCAAACCAAATCAACATCGGCCATTTACCCAAGATTTTTTAACTTAGCTAGTAAACCCCTGTGCCAGACTCGATCAAATACTTTTGATATATCAAGAAAACCCGCTCTGATTTCACGCCCTTTCTCTAAAGCTTTATAGATTTTATCTACAATATAAGTTAGTTGCATCACCGTGGAATCAACTGGTCGAAACCCAGATTAAGAAAATTATAAAGTCTAACATAAGTCTAACTTTTGGATAGACTAACTAATAATTATATTGGACGATAATTGCTCCTAAACCGGCGCTTATTTTTCTTAAATATTTGTATAACATTAGCCATATTCCAACAGGTTGGATATTGCCCAAAAGACAGAGATGTGTTTATTAAACGAGTAAATGGTTTAAAAATGGTGGCCGCACACAGTATCAAAATTTTATTACTAATATTATCAAATCCACAAGCCTTAGAAACGTCCAAATTATTTAAAATATTAAAAACTTCAAGTTCATCAATAACTATTGTCGCCAGCGTGTCTATCGACCTAAGAAATGGCACAACAGCATGATCATCTTTAATAAGACAAGATTGACAAACAAAGAACTGGTTAAATGCCTCTGCTTTATCCTTGGGTTCAGAAATGGTGTTTCCATTGACAATCAGGTCTGGCATGTGAAATTTATTACTCAACAGCGATTTGGAGAGTTTCCACCACTTCTTAGAAGAAATCGCAGGGTTACCTAAATCAGAATTTACTTTCGAAAAATAATCACATTTAGCTTGTCGAATCAGACTTACAACAAAATTTCTTTGAATTCTGTATTGTTCCCATCTTATAGTATACTTCTGTTTTGCACAGCACGAAAAATTGGATTTACCACTATAGGAAACACACAGTAAACTTGAGATAATGCAGCATTTGCTCATATTTACGAGCAAATGTGTGCATTATCTCAAGTTTACTCTGTGTTTCCTACAGTGGTAAAACCAATTTTTTGTCCAGTGTTGAATAAACAGATAAGAGTCTATCACTTTTTCAACCTTCTCAGTGGCGTATTATAGCCTGTAATTATAATCCAGTCATCAGGTATATGTACAGGGTGTATCAAAATAAACGCAATTCATCTTTTGTGCTTAATAACTTTCGAAATACTATTTCTAGTTAAACGCTTTTAGGCTTACTTCAAAGCCTGTTCTTTTCTCTTTCAAACAAACTATTATCCATGTCTCCAATGCTAGTAATAATTGCACAGGAAAAGATTTAGTAAAACCTATCATTTTTAGTTGCTGTTTAATTATGCTAGTTTACTATGTTATTGTTTAGTCGGTTTAAATGTTAGAATTTTCTTCTTTAAACTTTAATGTTGTCGTCACTACATCTGGAAAGCCACGTAAGAACAAATTAAAAGTAT